TCGGGCTAGTGGCATAACCCTGGAGAGCTGAGAGCTGTCCACCTCCGTAGCTCTCAGGGCAGCATTCGAGTTTCTCAGATGGGTCAGTCCTCAGATTTAGGTGCGAATTGTTAGCAGGAGACCTGCAGACTATTGTCTGGTATTTTGGGGGTCTGAGAATGCAGCAAGTGGGCTCAGAGCCTGTTAGGAAGAAGGAGTTGTAGAAAACACCTAGATGCAACTACTGTACTCAGTTCCTTATGGGCTTATAGTCACTTCTGATATAATTACTGGTAAAATTTTTCTCATATTTTTTGTTTGGCAAAACTCCTTGAGGAAGTGTTAGGCCAAAGGAGATCACCAGCTGAGTTCCAGGCCCCACCCATGTCCCTGCACCTGGTAATCCTGGGGGTAATCCACTGCAGGGACATCCCTGGGCCGCAGGCACATGAGCATGTTGGCTACGGATTCCTTACTGGCCCATGGCCCTCCTTTCCTCTGATTACTGACCCACAGGACCCTGTTTTTGTGGTGCCCTTTGAAGCATACTTGTTTACACTCTCAGGTCTCTTGTTGCAGGTCCTATTCCTGCTGCAGACCTGTAAAACTCCTTTCTGGATCTGTAATGATTTATGATCTAGAATAAGAAAAACATAAAGACTTATTTTTGTCTCTAAATTCTTTTAAAAATATATTTTATAGATTTAGAGGGTACAAGGGCAGTTTTGTGACATAGATCTATTGCATAGTGGCAACATCTGGGCTTTTAGTGCACCCAACATAAAGATGTTTTTAATCAGAATTATATAATAAGAAAAGTAAATTTGATTATATTTTAAGATGAAAACAGCTACTAAAACAGTTATCATTCAGACCATAAAGGAGATGGGCATTTTGGGGTGCAAAATAGTGAGAAATTCTGGCCTGTTGTCTTTATTAGGTCTTAGTCTTTTTTCGACTCTCTGATGCCATTTGACACTGAACCACATGTCTCAGGAATGACTTCCTGGTTGATCCTTCCTCGTGTGTAATTTGATGATGCCCAACAGTGACTTGGCTTCAGTGGTGGTGCCCAATTTCTGTGAGAGCACAGAGAGCCCCCACCATGATTAGCTGTGTCCACTTAAAGTCAAAAGAAAACACCTGATGAACTAGACATCCGTCTTAAATATATTTGCCATTTATATCCCAGCTATTTCCAAAAGGAAATGAGATACAAATGCAAATGACAGATGACAGAAGCATGAAAACAGCAGCAAGCTGAGGTGTGAGGCGCGAGGCACATTAGGAGTGGCCAGGAGATTTCTTTTGTGCTCTTACCCTTCACCCACCAAGTTTAATTTGCCAGGATGTCAGCAGAGCTGAGTTTTCACGGAAGCACAGGATCATGGAAAATTGTTTTAGTTTACTTAAAACTTGGTGGGGTCCAGGCTCAGTGGCTCAACCTGTAATTCCAGCACTTTGGGAGGTCAAGGTGCGTTGATTGCCTAAGCCTGCGGGTTTGAGACCAGCCCAGGCAACTTGGTAAGACCTCATCTCTACAATAAATCAAAAATTAGCCGGGTGTGGTAGCATGCGCCTGTAGTTCTGGCTACTTGGAAGGCTGAGGCAGAAGGATCGCTGGAGCCCAGCAGGTCAACGCTGGAGTGGCCATGAGTGTGCCACAGTACTCCAGTCTGGGTGACAGAGTGAGACTCCAACTCAAAAGAAAAAAAAAGTTTGGAGGAAATGTTTATAAAATACTTGTCAGGAGTCACACGTTGTCCCATTCTTGCATCTCTTGGTTTGATCTCTCAACAACCCTATGACATCTGTACTTAGTTCTTCCTCATTACAGATCTGGATGCAGAGGCCTAGAGAGGTTAATACAAAACAGCCAAGTGGAGATGTTTATCTCAGGCTGATGAAGAAAGGCTCACCTTTCTTCATCCAGGTGACCATTCACTGTCCAGTGGAGAGATGGCAGAACTGTAAAAATGATATGCACTGGTTTCTGGGATACCCATGGAGATGTTCCAACATCTGAAATAGAAATAGAGCCTGAAATATGAATGTTTTAATTGGTCCTTCTCTCCTTAAATAAAAAGATAGGGTAACAATGGCAGGTAATTTGTGATGCCAGGCACTGAGGTTCTACTCACTAAAAGTTTAAGTTGCCACATTAGTAGCTTATGCCTGTAATTCCAGCATTGTGGGAGGCTGAGGCAGGAGGATTGCTTGAGTCCAGGAGTTCCAGCCTGGGTAATGAGGTAAGACTTCCTCTCTACAAAAGATTTAAAAAAAATTGGGTGTGGTGTCACATGCCTGTAGTCTCAGCTACTCAGGAGGCTGAGATGAAAGGATCAGCTGAGCACAGGAGATTGAGGTTGCAGTGACTCATGATCATTCCACTGCACTCAGCCTGAGTGACAGAGTGAGACCTTGACTCAAAAAAAAAAAAAAGGATAGAAGGAAGCAGGAGGATTCTTTCTGATAGGGGGTTATCAGCCAAAAAGAATGCTCTTGAACAGTATGTCTGCAGCTCTTGGTTATGCAGTGGTCAGAGCAGTTGTCTCCACATCTGTTTGGATGCACCAGCCAGGTGACCATGTCAGCAGAGGCCCTCACACATTTTGGTATGTTCATTCCTAGAAGAATTTTGGGGAACTTTGTATCCCCACTACATTTTTTAGTTGACATTTAAAAATTCTTATCGTAAGTTTCATTGCAAAACATGTCATTTGCAGTATAATTTATATCATAGTATTTTAAAGGTAAAGGCATTCATTGGAGACTACTGTAGTAATATGATACCCACGATTTTCTTAGAGGTGAAAAATTTTTTTTAATTTAATTTAATTTAATTTTGAGTAGGAGTCTCACTCTGTCACCCAGACTGGAGTGCAGTGGCTGCTCCCGGCCACCACAGCCTCGACCTGCTGGGCTCCAGTGATCCTTCTGCCTCAGCCTTCCAAGTAGCTGGAACTACAGGCGTGCATTACCACGCCCGGCTAATTTTTGATTTATTGTAAAGATGAGGTCTCGCCAAGTTGCCCAGGCGGGTCTCGAACCCGCGGGCTCAGGCAGTCCACTCACCTCAGCCTCCCAAAGGCACGGGATTGATTACAGGCTGAGCCACCGAGCCCGGCTAGGGGTGAAAATTTTATATTTCTTTTTCTCCTTGAACTTATTATTTCATTTCCAATTTCCTCCCACATTATTTTGTGCCTCAAAATTGTCTATAACAAAAATATACATATAAGTTAAAACTGTAGTATTATTTCTTAGTAGCTGTATAATGTTTTTATTTACAACACCTTCAGGTTTGAGTTATTACACAATTCATCAAAACAATGTAAATATATTACAGATTTCATTATAAATTATTAAACATAAAAAGGACAATCTTACTTGGAATATATTTCTAATGAGATCAATAGTTATTTTTTTCTTCCATTAGTTCATATTTTTGTGTATGATTACTTATTGATAGAATGAAGCAAAGTTTAGTATCAATTTTCTTCTCATTTTTCGTTTCTTTTTTCTCTTTAACATAAAAGTTGAGAGAACATATAAGTAGATGAAATTGCAAGGAGTTGTTATAACAAGTATCAATCAAGTCTTTAAATGCTTTTTGAGTTATATGGTAAAATCACAGTCATCTATTACTAAAAATTATGTAAACAAGCCTACCAACCCTGCCTTCAGTTTGTTGAAGTAAAAATTGGAGATCATTTAAATCATGAGCCTGTTATTAGAGTCATTTGCTTCTTCAATACCAAGTTTTGAGACATCTCTTTCCTCAGCTCCTCAGAGGTTTTCCACTTGGGACAGTGAATTTTCATGAGGGTGGGAGAGTGGCCTACCTCCCCCACCCAGAGCAAAAGTGACTCTGGGAACAAAGAAGCCAGAAGGAGAACCTACACACTCAGTGTGCTGTCTGACAAGTCCGTTACAGGAGAGAGACGAAGTTACAGGTCTAGAAACCTGTTTCCTGGTGCTGCTGTGTTCCTGAGCATACTTGGAGAGTCTTTTTGAGCTGCAGGTGAATACGTGTCCCAGCATGAAGACCAGTGCCCTACAGAGCCCTGGAACAGATACCCAGTAACATGGACTGAATTGTGTACCCATAGTTGAAGTTCTATCCGAGTACCTCAGAATGTAGCCATTTTTGGAAATAAGATTTTAAAGAAGAAATTAAATTAAAATGGAGTCAGTAGAGTGGGCCCTACTCCAATATGTCTGTTGGAAGAGATTAGATGGCTGGACGTGATGACTCACACCTGTAATCCCAACACTTTGGGAGGCCGAGGTGGGCGAATTTCTTGAGCCCAGGAGTTCGAGACCAGCCTGGGCAATATAGCAAAACCTCCTCTCTACAAAAAAATTAAAAAATTAGCCAGGGATGGCAAGCATATGCCTGTAGTCCCAGCTACTCA